TTTTTGCTTTAATGTCCATTGCATTTTAAAAGATGTATTAAATACGAAGCCTAGTGTTGTTTTATGTACAATATACAAAGGGTCTTGTCCTGGAAGAAGATTAGTGGTGCAAGGTTCTTCTTCCATAAAGCCTTCTCCTCTACTTGTTTTACTGGACCTAATGAATTTTTCACAGAGCTAAAAAGATGCTAAATTGACTGAATTAGGTAATTAATTAGTCCATTTAAGTAATTTCAAGCACAGATGGAGCTGAAAAACAAGGGTGCTTGCAAATTTGGCTTCTAGCCACTATCTCCTTGCTCTATTTCTTTTTCAGATCAGCCCACCACTAAGGATGTCTATACACACATGAATAGAGTTAAGCTCCAATACTCATCTCCCAGTCCTTGTGACGGGAAAAGCTACGATCCATCGCCAGGATCCAGGAGGGTTGATTTCCATTAACCAGCTGCTCTTCACAAAAGGCAATACGGTACAACTAACCTATTTCAACACCAGACTTGCCCTGCAGGGAGCTGGGCTCAATTGTAATTAAATTTTACAGTATACTGCCAGAAAGGGGGGTGGCACCAGATTTTCCAGCATCATTCAACAGCTGGCTTTACCGTGAGACAGAATTCAGAAGTATTCTGAATTCTTATGGAAGAATTTGAGATTCGGTCTTTAGAACGGTCTTTTTCAAGCAGTTATACTTCTGTAAAATGGCTCTAATATAGTCCTGTTTGCTGGTAATTCAGCTTTAGATTTTCTTTTCTATGCAGTGAATTACTACTGCACCCTTGTCGTTTCTTCTATAGTTCCCTAGAGCGATGGGAGTTTGCTATTGTAAGTAGCAATCATTTTAAAAGCAAATTAACACCTCACAAGTGCAATGTTTTTAATAGGAGCGATTAATGTATCAACATACAATACATGTCAACATACATGATACTCAGCGCCTGAAGCATGAAAATAATATTTTGCTGCACAGCAGTGCAGGTACATGGTGTGATACAAACCTGCACAGAGTGTCACTCTAATGAGCAGAGTGTGGCACTCCTGGAGGGGGACAGGCAGGCTGGGAGGAGAGTGCCTGCAAACCTTCTCTTTGTCACAAGCATCTGTATGGCTGTGCCATGATGTCAAAATATGTAAGTCAGTGTGTAAGGCAAGCAATGTGGTTGCAAAAAACATAATTGACAGTTCCCTGAGTGAAAAATAATCTCCACAAGATCCATGCATACAAATCTTGCAGGACATTTTAAATGCCTCATGGATTCATGCAGTGGATGCTCCAGGCACTGTACTGTATATCCTTCAGGATTCTACCAAAAATCCTTATATTAAATAATCCACTAATGGGGTATGTTCGGTATAATTATTCATGGGCAGACATGGACAGAAAGCATTCTATACACAAATACTAATGTATTATTTGGCTTCTATGAGAACTTGTCGAAACAATTCTGGTGATTTGCTTTTACTGTTTCTGTCTTTTAAACACCTCATACTGTAAGTTTCCATAACTAGCAGAGAACAAATATCAAAGAATGCAAACATGTACAATAAATATATAAACTGACTTAAATTAGATAATTAAACCATGGCTCCTATAATGTTCTGGATCCACTGGTAAACTGATGGACCTGGTGCTGTCAGCTGACATTGGGCTAAATATGTTGTCTCTACTCTTATGTACAATCACTGTGCTGGCTCAGGGAAAGATGGGAGAGGCTGATGGATGGTTGGCCATTAGCATAAGCTTAAGTACAACCTCTGAGGGAGGCAGCACTATAGCAGAGAAGGCAAGCAGAAGCTTAGAATTCAATGCATCTTCTGTGAAGTGGAAAATAAAAATCCCTTCATTCTATCAGAATAAGTCATTTGATTTGCAACTAGTATATTACTAGAATATTACATCCAATGATAATGACTTACAGTACATATAGAAGGTTTGTGATGTCTAAGATGAATATTCAGATTTGTCAAATGGTCCTGGTGAAGTGTTACTTGCTTTCAAAAAGGCCTCTCTGCTCTGCTGCTTTGCTTGTGATTATTAAATCAGATGTTTCCAAGGACAGAGCAGAAAAGCAGACATGGAATAAACTAAAGTTCATTGCCTGGTGCAATGCTTCTGCCTCCAAATAGGAAGGTGTCACAGTTTTAATAATCCTGTCTGCACATTAGTATCCCTCTCTGCACATCTCTTCTTATTTAAAGTCAGATTATGTCACTGTTGTTGTTATAACATGGCATCTAGGTTTGGAAAACAGTGTGCTTTCATGACAAAATAAAACTGCATTCCTCTCTGGCTGTACAGGCATTGCATGATGGTCAACCTCAAGTGAGACACCAAAAAGATCCTGGGAACATGGCCAGGAAACAGACAATGAAGACAATAAGCCAAGAGGGCACTGAGGGCTTGTATTGGTATACAACTGCAGCACCTGGTGAAATCAGCAGGCAGATAAAATTGTTTAGGAGGCTTTACCCGCTTGTGCTTAATATGGAAGATGTCAAGATATGATGCCACTGATCTCCACTAACACTCATATAGAACATTCACGCCGTTAACAATTCAATACTATTTAGAATTTTGCTTCATACATTTAGCTTATAGTTAAATATCAGTTATACAGAACTGATAGTCCTCCGGGCAATGATCTAAAACATGGAACAGGTTAAGACACATACAGTGTATGTGTGGAGCAGTCCTGAAGATTCTGAGGACCATCTAGGTAAGCTCATCCTCTTCAGAGAATACTAAACTTCTACACTAGTATATGCTAATTTTTTTAACTACTCTAGATTTCAAACATTGTTAAATTAAGAAATTTATTAAGAAAGCACGCATCGCTGTACAAACTTTAAGAACATACTTCAAAGGAAAGCAGAGGCATCTGCTGTTCAGTCCAGACATTCATCAGAAAGGCTCTAATTTCTAGGAGGGGGTCAACTTTGTCCAGTCTGTGAGTAGCCCATGATTAGCCACACCAAATAATCCCACACTGGCCAATATCTGCCTGTTGTCATTGGGCACTAATTCACTGTGGCAAACACTAGCTGCTGTGGGATCGATTCTTACATGGATACAATCAGCTACTGTATATAAAGAATGACTCAGAAATAAGTAAACTGATAAACCCACGTCGAAACAGTGTTTTTGATGATAACAAGAGTGTTTTCAATTAGAGTATTCGAACGTTACACATGTATTCAAGCTCGTTCCCATTGGGTGTCGAAAGCCATAGTATATAACACACCACTTTTATTATCGTCTCACACACGTGTATCGTTCTCTCTGTGCATGTAAAAATCTGATTTGGAGCTTCAAGTGTAATAAAGAATTGATATACATTCTATATTCAATCTCAAGTTAAGTAGATGTCACAATTTCTCAGGTCTTGTAAGAAACCTTTAAATCCAATTTGCTTCACTATCACAGTGCGATTTAGATCAGACGTAATCATATGGACGAATACATTATGACTAACATATGTTCACATAAAGGTGTGCTGGATCTGGACTGTATGTACAGTATATAAGAGGATGACCGTTCGTTGGGCGTAGCCAGCAGCCCGTGTCGCGCAACAGACTGGAGCTCTACATCTTTCGAGCAGTTGGTTCAGGGACGGATGGTGCTGTAGGGGAACATGCGCGTCAGGCTGAGACTGTGACAAGGCAATCTACAACGGGACGTTACTCTTCGAGTTCAATTTTCCGTCGTATAGCGTAGATTTACCTGTCCCTGCATTTGTGTTGATAAAATGGCAGAAATTGACAAGCAAAGAGAAGCATGCTTACTCACGTCTAAAAAAAACGGTATTATGTAATTATGTACTTAGTGCGAACCGGATACCTAACAGATAACTTACTTTCCCCAGTGCAATTTCTACAATCCGCAGAATCTGTAACAATCTCCAAGTTCTAGCACGTCTGTTACCATTGCATCTCTACAGAGCCAATGTACAAACTAGGATATAGGAACTGGACAAAGTTTTGCAGTCCAAGACATTGAATACAGATAAGACCGTTTGTATCAGAAGAACACCGCCTCCTAGTTCAGACCAGGCACCCTGGTCACGGATTTGAGCATTTGTTTCTGGTTTTCATTCAAGCTCAGACTGTATTGTCTCAAGAGAAACAATTGCTATGGCGTCAAATCAACTGTATTTCACCCCATGTCAGAATATTGTGCAGATTTTATTATTATTTGGACTTTGATTCATTTCTTATTAAAGCGGGCACGCGAAACCCAGTGACTTAAATATCAGTGTATTCAAGTGCTCCTAAAACCCCTAGTGTTTTCACATCCCCAGCGATTAAAATCAGTTTTAATTTATACTAATTTAATGCAATAATTGAGTGAATTAACTCAATACTTATATCGAATGAAAACTAGAAAGGTTTGTGACTCTCCGGGACATGGAGAATCGGTATCATCGTAGTACAGTATTTACAAAACACCAAATCTTGGTTTTACAAACTCTTTAACTGAAAAGGTGCAAATTTCCACAGCTAACCTTGTTGTCATCATGGTGCTGGTTTCAGGCAAAGCGCCCAGAGAATGTAACAATTACAAACTAGATAGTAAGAGGAGTGAAACGAGCAATAAAGGTCAGACAATTACTTTGGAAACACATTTTACAACAGACGTGTGCGTTATTAAGCCCCATCGTTTGCATACCAAATATTGACCTATCCACTTCCATGCAATTAATTGTTTGCCGTGGATATCTCAAATAAATATTACAGTTCCTGCTTGGAAGTAGATATTCAAGCTCTATTTGTTTTAAAGTATTGAGGTAAAATCTTGATCATCGTTACCATATCGGGCTACTATTATGGGCTGTGCAGAACGAGGAGACAGAACGCCTTTAGCAACAACACAGACATTATTCTCCTTGAATCAGATAGGACGAAGAGTAATAAAGGCAAGGCAAATACGTGGGCGAGAAGCTTCTAAAAATAAAAACGGAATAACTGTCATTAAGGTTTCCCACAGCCTGTTAGGCGTGTAAGCTAATGTTCTCCTTACCTGAGGTTCGCTTTTCACGGTGTTTATATAAAGTATTAAACATCTGATAGATATTGAGTTATAATACTATATGCTTTCTCTAAAATAAATTTAGTTTTATTGTAGCTCTCCGATTATAGAGAGACCCGTTGTTTTATAATGGGGATCATATCTTTTAAAAACACGTATGAAAAAGTCCCGTAATTATTTTTACATAAATAAGCGTTATGTGGTATTCATCACTTAGAAATGCGATATATATATAAGGACATATGACTGAGATAAATGTTTTTTTAAACAACGAAGAGACAAGTGAAATGATGCGGATTTTAAGTGTATTCATCCTGAAAGCTCGACTGTTTTCTCCAACGATCGGATCCGGCACGTAAAAATGCATCACGTCAAAATCAGGCTACCTCGAGTGTGCCTGGATCAGATTTTTAAAGTTTTCCTTTTCGTTGGTGTTCGATCGAACCAAGTCCGTGACATTTCGACACGCCAAGTTCACGCCAATGTGGATTTCGCTGTCCGAGGTACTGAAATTCGCTTTTCCAGAGACATATCACATGACTGCTCTGCTTCTCTCAATACTGTAAGCTCTGGATTCTGTTAAGACTTTAGCAAGAGAACGACAAGCCACCCAGCAAATTATTCTGCTCAGTGGCACGGTTGTACTGCAATTGTGAGCGTTATGATCTGGCCAGAGATGTGGAATTTGGAAATTCAGCCAATTCAAGTCTCATATTTTGGATGGTAGAATCATTTTTTTTTCCCAGTGGCGTGATTCCAGTGGATGGGTACGGCAGGCTATAGTTTCCTGCTAATTAAGAAAGTGCACATCTATTTGGAGATCTGACACGGAGAAGATGTAAGGATCAACAAGCCTTTTTCCCCAGTGGCTCCAGAACAAAAATGCAGAAAGGAATTCGACTTAATGATGGCCATGTCACCTACCTGGGTCTTTTGGCAAAGAAGGACGGCACGAGGCGAGGATGTTTGAGCAAGAAGAGCTCGGACAACACAAAATGGCACACCAAATGGTTCGCTTTGCTGCAGAATATGTTGTTTTATTTTGAGAACGATTCCAGCTCTCGGCCCTCAGGATTATACCTGTTGGAAGGATGCGTTTGTGACAGGGCACCGTCGCCGAAACCGTCTCTCTCAGCCAAGGAATGTTTAGAAAAACAGGTAAGAAGGCGTCGATGCAAGAAACCTAAACGGTTTTTTTATTCTGTATATTTCTACTTTCTTGAGGGAGGAGGAGGGGGTGGCCAGCTTTCAAGAAGTATAAACATTCAATAGATCATAGTTTATTTTTGTGAATATAATATAGAGCCCGTACGTCTTGATTTCACCCCACCTTTAATTGCATGTGGGACAGATGATCTGATGCGTGCGTGTGTGTTGCAGACACCTGCAAACCGCTGCCACTGCAATGAAATGCGAGGAAGGCGCAGGCAGAGCAGCCCAGAAACAGGTCCACAGGAGACCTTTGTAATTGTGCCGCACTTAGACGTGTACCTGTGTTCGTCCTGAGTGATGTGCGTTGAGCTCACTGGGTTTCCGGCGGCCGCGCGCTCTGATTTTCAAGGCGACGCAGAGGAACCGCAAACCTCGTGCCTGACCTCAGTTCAGCAAATTCATCTGTGGCAGAACGTAATTACATCAACTAATAGAAAACCAGACCCGCTAGGAAACGTGTAGGAACTGTATAAATGTACAAATAATTTCAGGTTAAAAGCTCTTATCAAAACATCGATGAATGTGACATCTCATCTAATTGCTTGGTTCAGTGCGTTAACTTACTCGGACACGTTTGGATAAAAAAAAAAACACTCGCCTATCTTTTCCAACGAACATAATCGATTTGTTTTTAATTAGCATAATTAAACTGTAATGAACTTAATTCAAAAGTATTCTCGCCACAGTAAAGTCAAAAGAACGTATGTAAATCATAGCTTCAGATATCATAAAAATAAACGTTGCTTAGCTAATTAAGTTCTGATTTTTCGGGAAATAGTTGTTCCCCTATTTTTTACGGGTAATAAAGTCTAATTATGCACTTGGACGAGTCTCTAGAGTGCCATCTGGCGGGAAATGTGCAATGATCTCCCATTATATTGTTTTCCAGTCTTAATAATCCTCTATATTAATATCGTCCTACAGTACATGGACATGGTCAATCTAAAGCCCAAAACAAGAAGCCATTTATTCGAGATGTTAATAATCAGTGTGTTTCTTTTAATCCAGCTAAGCATGTAGTGGTCCTTTTCTGAGATGGCTTAATTTTAGAAAATGCTGCTATCTGCTATAGTGTCCACGTACTTTGTCATTTCTCTAGTCTGTTGTCTTCAATTGTCTTCGACAGAAATAGACTATCATGTGTTAAAAGGCTTTTGCAGGGCAAATGTGAAATGCTCAACAATAGGTTCCTAAACAATAGGTTTCAGGACACTGTAAAAAGTGTAGCATTAAAGTACATAAAAAACTTAAATAGGTACGATATCAAGTAGAGGGGTACACATAGCTCTTGATTTTAATAGAAACTAAAGGAAATGTTTGAATAACAGAACCTTAAACTCCACACATTGCACTATTTCAAACAGCCATTGTGTGAAATGTTACACAATAAATAAATGTAAAATACACTTTTATAAAGTGAAGCACTGCTTGTATGACATTCTTAGTACATTATACATTATGTAACAGTTTTCAGCTTACATGCATATAATATTTGTATGCCCCTGAGTAATATAACAATATACTTTCAGATCCTGTCTGCCTGCTTCACTACACGCAAAAACATCCATTTAAATGCGGAGTGTGAAAAATGTGTCTCCTGTAACAATCAGCAGAGGCTGTGTTGACACATGGTGAAAATGAATCCAATATTGGGACAGAATCATTCGTTAGATAGGTTATTAAGGGCTTGTTTACTCGATTATTGGAAATTGCTCTGGTCTCATTTTGCAACAGCACACAGACCACGGACTCTTAACTGTGTGTCTGCCTGTGTCCTGGGCCTTTTTAAAGGGCATTAAATTGTCTCTCCCTCCTTTAAATAGCAGGTGACAGCACACCCTCATGTTAGTTATGTTTTGCCACAATCCATCTGTACTTAAACTGGAAAAAAAAGTGAAAGGCTGCCCTGAGACTACCGAGTGATTTCTGTTGTCTCATATCATGCAAGGCTGTGGTTTGACATAATCCAAGGAGCTAGTTAAAAGCTGGAATAATACAAGAGGGGATCAGTGTTCATTGGGAGTTTTCTTGACATCAAGGTCTGCACAGACAGTTTGTTTATATGCGGTAGTCTGTTGTGAGACAGGCGAGATGTTGGACAGTGCAGACACAGCCTGGCACAAGGAGCGGCTCCCCCTGGAGGTGCCCCTCTGCAGCTGGCTGCAGGGTCTGGACGATGGGAGAGACTGAGCAATGAGGAGGGAAGGAGTTGCTGCCCCGCAGGTTGCAGAGTGTCGGGAGTTTAGAGGACTGCAGGGGGCTGGAGATAAGAGCCCTCGACTGATGCTCAAGTGACAACAGTGCTGAGAGCAGGAGGCATGGTCCCTGCCCGTCTCTCCTAGAGGCAAGGGGCACCAGGTGTGAGACTGGGGGTGTGTGGAGAGGCGGGGGGGGGGGGGGTCTGTTCACCCAGAGAGGCCAAGGACAAGGAGATCCCTCAGCCAATGCACTGTCAGCATGTGGGCTGAAGGGCTGTCAGCATTTCTAATTAAAAGGGCATTAGAGCTGCTTCACAGGAGCAAAAGAATAATCACCCTTCCATTGATTGAGTTGTACAATTAATTGATAAATAAAGTAAAAGAAAAAGTATATTTTCTGGTCCTTTGTACACACACACACATCCACCACCCACTCCTTCTCTTTACTGAAAGGAACAATGTGAATATTCAGTTCTGTGACAGTGATTATTTTATTATTAATATTATTAGCATCTGTAATGGTCTGCACTTAAAACCACCTTTAGCAGAACATTTTATCTAGAAGGCAGGAAACCTTAACCTGTTATGGAGAAGCTAGCTGACTCGCTGTCCCAGACATATTGGAAAAGTCATTCAGTGTGGGACTTTTTTTGTTTATCCACGTCCAAAACATAAACTGGAGAAAAGACAGACTCCAAGACATGGAGCTCGAAAAAATCAGTGTGATGGTTTTTTTTTTACTGCAAGTGTATACAAGCACGTCCATTAATCGTGTTGATCTGCCCAGTGTATAAACAGTTTCATTAGAAAGGCTCATCACGAGCAAGAATACAAACAAATCAATGCCTTTTTGGCAAATGAGCAACCTCTCCCCTCATCTGCAATGAGAATTTAAGCTACCACCAAGAACCTATTGCTGACAGCATCTCTTTTAAGCATCAGAGTCCTTTTAAATTAAATCTGTTTAAAAGTGAGAGAGAGCTATCTTGCTATAACACCAAGGGCCGTGTTTCATGTTCCTATACTTGTTTCCTCTGCTTTATCAAGTCTTTAAAGCATATTAGTATTAGCTTATCCATGGACATAGTGCAGGTCTTGTATTGATGCTGCAATAGAGATGCAATCAGTCAGGAAGCAATACGTGAACAGAGACCTGTTAGGATAAATGACATGCGATGGCAATACTGGTAATAAAAAGTGCGGAAAAGTGCACAAGTGCAGATCTCCACACCATGCCAATTTGGTTGCTTGCATCTTGCTCACATAATACTCAATAATCTTTTTGACTTTTAAGAGTATATCAAAACCCTGGAAGTACTGTATGTCAGTGCATGCATAAAACACATAATTAAGACAGTAAGAGAGGTAAAACATCACACCGTAAACTGGCCAGATAAAACTTAGAGTAAAACAAAATGTTCATTAAACCCTGTCACAAAAATACAAATCTTTAAGCCATTTGTAAAAATGCCCACAGGTACTTTGTAAAAATGCCCATCCAGTCTTCTAATGGATTCAAGTAATGCATTTCACAATTATGGAGCTGAACAAGGAGGCTTTGCCTCTCATTGTGTGGAGATTGGCTTTTGATAAAAAAATGACCTGTAGGTCAGCAGAACTATGATTATGATTAAGTTGTCTTGTACTCATCAAATAAGACTTCAAAAATGCATGGAGCTAAACCATTCAGTGCCTCAAAGACAAGTATGGACATCTGAAAATGTACCTTAAATCTCATAGTGTAGCCAGTAGTTTTAGTTATCAGTTCAGGTCTGGATATATTGAAGCTTATTCAACACCCTAGCAATGGCAGTAGTTTAACTGTGATTATATAAAAGCATTTATCAAGCCTTTTGTTCGGAGAGGGATACAATACTTCAATTTTCACAAAATAAAGATGTTGATAATTGTTTTAGCATCAGATAGAGAAATAACTCGAACCTGTCAATGTTCCACACAAGGAAAAATGTTTCTGGTACGGAGAACACACCAAGCTGACAAAAATAATCATATGTTAATTTCATACATTCATCAAAATAATGATGTTATTAATAACTGAAATATCAGTCCAGAGTTTCAGGTCAACATCCTCAACAACAGTACTGATGTCAACTTCATTTCAGATGAAGAAAATCCTGATGAAGGTTCTATCCAAAATTAATATGCACTCCATCCTCTATGTAAACTACTCAACAAAAGGATTTTATAAACCTAGTTATTATGTCACTGCAGCAATCACTTCATAGTATATAGTGTTTCCCAGAATTCCAGAGAAGAGCAGGGCCTCTAGAAGGCAAAAAGAGAAGAAGCAGAGAGGAGTGTAGTGCTCACTGGAGGCTGGTGAGCCATGTTCCAGCAGCTCTTGGGTACCACAGACTGCTCTTCACGGGTTTATGGTAAGAAAGAAAATGACCAATGTGTCAACCAATGGTGGTTGACAGTGGTTACAATCAAATCAAACATTTATGCACAGAACACAGGACTCAGAACAGACAACTACTTTCAAAGACTTCTTAGAAAGTGTAAACTTACAACACATTAAAAACTAAACAAGCTTTCAAAGTTCAAGGGAGTGGTCCTGAGCAATGTCATTGGTTCAAATTCCAGGTAATGTGCTGCTGTCAAACTGCTGAGGGAGATCCTTCCTTCAGATTGCTGTAGTAAATACAGCTGTAATAAACACAACTGATTCTGCGTCCCAGCATGGTAAACAAGAATTTATTGTTGATTGAGCTAGACTACTTGGTA